TATATTCTGTTTTTGTTCATTTTGAATATTGAGGATTTCAAAATTGTATTTATTATTGCGGTTTACAAGAACCATTATTCAGCATTCTAGCAACAAGCAGTCTTAGCACCAGGTCAAATAGCCTACGCACTGGCGGGCCTTGAAAGCGCCCGGTGGGCAAGGACGACATCTCCAAGGTTGCCGTCGTCGATGAGGAACTTGTTCGGAAAGACGAACGCACCCATAGCCGGATCGTGGGGGATCCTCCGCTCCACGACAGCAAAATGGATCATCTGTTTGACCTTTTCGCACCACTCTTGGTAGTCTGGCCTGTTCTGCTCCGGCTGTCTACTGATTCGCTTGCGACGCTTATCCTGCAGAAGGGGCCATTCGATCTGCAATGTGGTGTAGGGCTGGGTGGATGGTTTATGAGGAGGGTAGGTTACGGGTAAATGAGGCAACTGAAAGCGGTGATGCAGTCGTCACTATCTACGTAACTGCAAAGGCCTAATCGACCAGGGTTTTAGCTGAAGTACAGGCAAGGGGTTAAGGGGATGAGGCATGGGGGTACAAACACATATCTACATCCTTACCGAAAACAGGCCCCATGCCACCATGCGGCTCTTGAACTTGGTGAACACCGCCCCGCCCCTCTTGAAGGAGAGTTTGAACGCATAAGCGAACAAGGGGTTGCTGAAGGGTGTCCCGGTGGCCTTGTCAAAGTGCCAGTTGAGGGCCCACTGTTCTGCTTTTTGGCAGGGAGGGTATGGGTTGGAAAGGGTTTTGTAGAGAAATCAAATGGGGGGATGAGAGTCAGGGTGAGCCACATCGCACGGTGATATGTTAAGAAGGATCCACTCACCACATCTTGCCGTGTCGGCAGATGTATTTATTATTGAGGACAGCTGGTGGTTGAAGACTCCCATGGTTGACTTGTCATTGTGCAACCACAGCAGCTTCATTGCCTCGAGCCCTTCTGCAGACAAGTGGACAGAGAACGCTTCGAACACTTCCTCCGGTGCAGGGTAGTACTGTATTTTCTCCGGCGTGAGCTGAGAGCACACTAAGTAGGCTTTGTTCTGCGCAGGGGTGTAAGGTATACAACACGACATGGAAGACAGAAACCAGCAGTTATGAGGGTGGCCGCGTGACCATGGGATGGTGACTAGCAACACTGTTTGAAATTGCCACGTCACACCCTGCGCCATCAGACACGTCCACCAACAACCCGGCCCACTTGCCATGTCACACCCCCCTACCACAAGCCACGTCACCCCCCACCCACCTGACACGCCTCGCTTCGTCATGCGCAGTGGTCACGTGTACCATTTCTAACCGCCACGTCATCCCCAACCCTCACCTTCCGCCATGTCACACCCACCTGAATCCGCCACGTCATCCCCAACCCTCACGTTCCGCCACGTCACACCCTCCTTGTCCGCCACGTCCACCAACCAGCCCCACGTGCCACGTCACACCCTCCTGCATCCGCCACGTCCACCAACAACCAGCCCCAAGTGCCACGTCACACCCTCCCACCCCATGCCACGTCACCCCCCACCCACCTGACACGCGTCGCCTCGTCACGCGCCGCTCCCGTGTACCATTCCAAACCGCCACGTCAGCCCCAACCCTCACATTCTGCCACGTCACACCCTTTTGCATCCGCCAACAACCCGCCCTACTTGCCACGTCACACCCCCCACCAAGAGCCACGTCACCCCCCACCCACCTGAGACGCCTCGCTTCGTCATGCGCCGCTCACGTGTACCCTTTTAGGGTGCCACGTCATCCCCAACCCTCACCTTCCGCCACGTCACACCCATCTGCATCTGTCACGTCATCCCCCACCCTCACCTTCCGCCACGTCACACCCTTCTGCATCCGCCACGTCCACCAACCAGCCCCAAGTGCCACGTCACACCCTCCTTGTCCGCCACGTCCACCAACCAGCCCCACGTGCCACGTCACACCCTCCTGCATCCGCCACGTCCACCAACAACCAGCCCCAAGTGCCACGTCACACCCTCCCACCTCATGCCACGTCACCCCCCACCCACCTGACACGCGTCGCCTCGTCACGCGCCGCTCCCATGTACCATTCCAAACCGCCACGTCAGCCCCAACCCTCACATTCTGCCACGTCACACCCTTTTGCATCCGCCAACAACCCGCCCTACTTGCCACGTCACACCCCCCACCAAGAGCCACGTCACCCCCCACCCACCTGAGATGCCTCGCTTCGTCATGCGCCGCTCACGTGTACCCTTTTAGGGTGCCACGTCATCCCCAACCCTCACCTTCCGCCACGTCACACCCATCTGCATCTGTCATGTCATCCCCCACCCTCACCTTCCGCCACGTCACACCCTTTTGCATCCGCCACGTCCACCAACCAGCCCCAAGTGCCACGTCACACCCTCCTTGTCCGCCACGTCCACCAACCAGCCCCACGTGCCACGTCACACCCTCCTGCATCCGCCACGTCCACCAACAACCAGCCCCACGTGCCACGTCACACCCTCCCACCCCATGCCACGTCACCCCCCACCCACCTGACACGCGTCGCCTCGTCACGCGCCGCCCCCGTGTACCATTCCAAACCGCGGCGGGGTACCAGCCATAGGTAGGGCTGCCGACCCGCCTGCATAGCTGGCAGGTACTCCACGACGCAGGCCGAGCTGTGCAAACATGGCGTACATCTCAGACCACAGCGCCTGGAACTCCTCCCGTGTAACAAAATGCTCGTGCTCCGCACTTTCACCTAGGGCACCCATGAGCGGAGGAAAAGGGTGTGAAGAATCCCCCCTCTGGCCAAGGGGATCAACGTCTTCTGCAGCAGTCCCGTGTGCCCTCACACTATTACGTTGGCGGGAAAAGGGGAGCTCAGGGAAGGGATTGGCATAACTGCCTGCCTGATGCCCGCGCGAAGGATCGGCGAGAGGGGAGACCGCCCTGCCCCGGACAGGAGAAGCGTGGAGTTGCCGAAATTGGTACGAGGGTGAGGCGAGTGGGGACTGCGTGACGGGGGCGGGTGGAGGGGATTCGGATTCCTCTCCTCTTGGCGCGCCTGGTGCCGTCGCAGCGACTATGCTCGGGCCGGCCCATGGCGTGTAGTACCTTGGTGCTCTGGAGGAGAGCGGTGTAACACTCGCTCTTCCGGCAGCCTTCGTTAGATGCACTCGTTGCACGCTTACGGGCGGCCCAATGCATGTAACGCGAGGGGCTGAGATGTAGAGGGAGCCGGAAAAAAAAATTAGAGTCGATCGGTTTCAAGGCGGGGCCAGACATGCATGCATATTCAGAAAGGTTTGAATCTAGATCGGGTTCAGGGTTGTACTGGTTTGAGACAAGAGGGTTTACCTTGCTTGGCAGATTCGTCGTGTCAGAATATTATGCTCTAGCCTGTAGTGGGGTGCTCTATAGCGAGTACAACCCTTCTAGGGTTTGCTATTTGTATCCTCATTCTTGCTAGTGCAACCCTCTTCTTTCTTTTAAACTTTCACATGCTATTACAGCAAGTCGATCCCCTTGGATCGATCCTGTGGGTGGGCTCACCACCTCGTTGCTTCCGCTGCAACTTCCACTGCTACTCTCTGTGCCGCACGCCCCGTGGCGTGCGGCAGTTTTTCTTCCCGCCGTGCGCCCCGAGGCGCGCGGCGGTTTTCTGCCCGCCGTGCGCCCCGTGGCGCGCGGCGGTTCTCTGCCCGCTGTGCGCCCCGAGGCGCGCGGCGGGCTTCTGCCCCGTCACTCGGCGCGTCGCCCTCGAGAGGCGCTGCGACGGGCGACGGGGACCCGCGCGTCGCCCCCCGTCGCCCGTCGTGGCCTGCGCGCGGCCCGTACAGGCTGCGCGCGGCCCGTAAGGGCTACGCCAGGCCCGGACGCGGCCCGTACGGGCTGCGCCAGGCCAGCGCGCGGCCCGTACGGGCTGCGCTAGGCCCGCGCGCGGCCCGTACGGGCTGCGCCAGGCCCGCGCGCGGCTCGGGCCGCCTGCGCGCGGTTCGGGCGGCTGTGCCAGGCCCGTGGGCGGCCCGTTCCTCGCTGCCCCTGCCCTCCCCGCTGTCCCCCGTGCTTCTACTGGCGCCCCACCCCTCCTACAGCCCGTTCTCCTGAATTAGGGTTTGGGGGTGAGGGGTATGGGGGTGAAGCCACTGTGTGCCGTTCCCTGCTCCTCCTCCTCCTCCGTCTCCCTGTGCTGCAGCTGCCGCTGAGGGGGGGTGGACTTGTTGGAGCCGTTGGAGTGGTACTAAGGGGGGGTGAAGGGGGAGTGGAGCTAGCGGTGTAGCAGCGGGTGTGTGTCAGGGGGAGTGGGATAGTTTGGGGAGGTTGAAGGGGGTGGCCGCCGTGAAGCCAGCAGCTCCAGTCGCCCGTGAGACCGTTGCGCCAGTCGCCCGTGAGCCCGTTGCGCCAGTTGCCCGTGAGCCCGTTGCTCCAGTCGCCCGTGAGTCCGTTGCTCGTCTGCCGCTACTTTTAGGCGCGGAGCCAGTTACTCCAGTAGCTCGTGTGCCAGTTGCTCCAGTTGCCAGTGTGCCAGTTGCTCCAGTTGCCCGTGTGCCAGTTGCTCCAGTTGCGCCGTGTGCCAGCAGCTTCAGCTGCCGCCCACTACCTCCTCTCCTCTCATAGTCTCTTTCCTCCTCCTCACTTGCCCGTTGTGACTACTACTAGCTTTGCTCATAATTGTGAACTTTAAACTATTGCTTCTTGAACTTGTGCTCAGAATGTGTGGTGACATTGTGATCCACCCTGAGCTTGTACTGCTTTGCTTGCTCTGCTGATTACACCCCACTTTGGCTATGGGGGTGTGTCAGAATATTATGCTCTAGCATGTAGTGGGGTGCTCTATAGCGAGTACAACCCTTCTAGGGTTTGCTATTTGTATCCTCATTCTTGCTAGTGCAACCCTCTTCTTTCTTTTAAACTTTCACACGTCGACCTTCTCCTTCCCTGCATGGGAGAAACAATGTGAAAAAAGGGTGTTTTTTGGCACGGTTTGGCAGATGGTTCAACACGTCACGCCAGTTTTATTGGACACAATGCTCACCTTTCTGCTGTCCCTTCGGTTTTGGGGCAGCCTGCGCCTTCTCGTTGCCACCTTTCCGCGGGGTGCTTTGGCGGACGCTGCGACGTTTACCGGCAGGTTCTTTCTTGCTGGTACCCACTGGAACCCCTTTGGCGCGGCCACCCTTTCCTCCTCCATCCCCTTTTGCTCCCTGGCTCCCTTGCTTTTTACCAACCCCTTCACTTTCGACCTTCACCTTACGCGCCTTCGGTTTGCCCGATGCTTCGCCGCGCGCAGCGTCAACTGCCCCGCGTTTTCGGGAAGGGCGAGTCCGGCCCCCCTCCTTCCCTGTACCACTCACCCGTCTGCCACACCCGCCCCGTCCCTTCACTGGCGCCACATCCTCCTCCTCCTCCTCCTCCTCCTCCTCCTCCTCCTCCTCCTCCTCCTCCTCCTCCTCCTCCTCCTCCTCCTCCTCCTCCTCCTCCTCCTGCTCCTCCTCCTCCTCCGCTGCCTCCTCCGCTGCCTCCTCCTCCTCCTCCTCCTCCTCCTCCTCCTCCTCCTCCTCCTCCTCCTCCTCCTCCTCCTCCTCCTCCTCCTCCTCCTCCTCCTCCTCCTCCTCCTCCTCCTCCTCCACATCCTCCTCCTCGTCGTCACCCTGCTCCTCCTCCTCCTCCTCCTCCTCCTCCTCCTCCTCCTCCTCCTCCTCCTCCTCCTCCTCCTCCTCCTCTTCCTCCTCCTCCTCCTCCTCCTCCTCCTCCTCCTCTTCCTCCTCCTCCTCCTCCTCCTCCCCCTCCTCTGCCTCCTCCTCCTCCTCCTCCTCCTCCTCCTCCTCCTCCTCCTCCTCCTCCTCCTCCTCCTCATCCTCCTCCTCCTCCTCCTCCTCCTCCTCCTCCTCCTCCTCCTCCTCCTCCTCCTCCTCCTCCTCTTCGTCCTCCCCGCCATCATTCTCATCTTTTTCATCCTCCCCAACATCCGCGTCATCCTCCTCCGCTTCCTCTTCATCCTCCTCTCCCTCCGCATCCTCCTCCTCATCCTCCTCCTCCTCCGCATCACCGCGGTCTTCATCGCCCCGTTTCGGCTTTGTTCCCGTCACTGCTTTCTTGCCTCTCCTTCCGCCGGATGCTTTTCTTGCTGCAGGTCGGCCCTTCTGGCGCAATGCTTGACCGCCCGCCTTGGCACTAGCTTCCTTGGCGCCTCGCGGTGTCCCAACTGCCGCGCCTCCGTTGTCGTCAGCACTACCTGTCGTCTGCCGCCTCTTCGCCCGCGTAATGAGGTCCCCGGGCACGGCGGTGTCATAATCGTCCTCCCCATCACTCTTCCTCTGCCTACGCCTCCCCCGTCCACCAGAAGGTGGAGAGCCACCGACCAGCCCCAATGACTCGTGCTCCCCCACCTTGTCCTTATCCAGCACGGCTGCAGAAACTTCGACCACGGTCGGCTGGAGCAGCGTCAGATGGTGTTGCTGTCAGATTATTATGGCTGATGCATGTTTGTAGGCTATACTGGGGTAGCACATATGGGGTACAGTTTGCTAGGGTTGTATTTGTACCCAACTCTGACTTAGTCAATTCATTCCTGTTCTGTTAGTTTCACATGGTATAGAGCGGGTCCCTCCTAAGGACCGTTCTTTGGGCCCACCCACGATTTTTTTCCTGCCCGGAGCGCGCCCTATTCTCCCCGAGGCGCGCTCCCCCTAGTGCGCGTCAAGCTGCCCTTGTGGCGCCCCGAGAGTCGCGCGCGCGACTCATTTTTTTTCGCGCGCGCGGCCCAGGCCCCACTTCGCGCGGCCCTTACAGCCGCGCCGCGCCGCCCTCTCTGCTCTGCCGCCCCGCGCCGCCCTCCAGACGGCCGCGCGGCCTCTTCGTCGCTGCAGCAGGCCCCCCCCCCCCCCCGCTGCACCTCTGTCGGCCCCGCAGCCGCCTTACCTGACGGCCGCCGCCTCACCTGACGGCCCGCCGCCTCGACTTCTGGCCCGCCACCTCACCAGACGGCCCTGCCGCCTCACCTGACGGCCCACCGTCTCACCTGCTGGCCCGCCACCTTACCTGACGGCCCCGCCGCCTCACCTGACGGCCCGCCGCCACCTTACCTGACGGCCCCGCCGCCTCACTTGACGGCCCGCCGCCTCACCTACTGGCCCGCCACCTGACCTGACGGCCCCGCCGCCTCACCTGACGGCCCGCCGCCTGACCTGCTGGCCCGCCACCTCACCTGACGGCCCGCCGCCTCACCCGCTGGCCCGCCACCTGACCTGACGGCCCCGCCGCCTCACCTGCTGGCCCGCCACCTGACCTGACGGCCCCGCCGCCTCACCCGACGGCTCGCCACCTCACCTGCTGGCCCGCCACCTGACGGCTCCGCCGTCCCCTGTCCCGGCCCCGCAGCTGCACCCTGACGGCCCCGCCGAGCCGCCCAGCAGCAGCCGAGCCGCCCAGCCGCAGCCGAGCCGCCCAGCAGCAGCTGAGCCGCCCAGCAGCAGCCGCGCCGCCCAGCAGCAGCCGAGCCGCCCAGCCGCAGCCGAGCCGCCCAGCAGCAGCCGAGCCGCCCAGCCGCAGCCGAGCCGCCCAGCAGCAGCTGAGCCGCACAGCAGCAGCCGAGCCGCCCAGCAGCAGCCGAGCCGCCCGGTACCCGAGCTACCCGAGCCGCCCGAGCCGCCCGAGCCGCCCGAGCCGCCCGACCCAGCCCGAGCTGCCTGCTGCTGTCCTACCCGACTCTCCTAGCCCGGTGAGACTTTCAGCTGCTGCCATGGCCACCCCCAATGTTCTTACTTTTGACGCTGAGGGGAGGGCCATTGACTTTGCCGTCTGGATTGAAGACCTGCAGCTGTACTTACTGTGTGATGCGATAGATGAGGTCTCTCTCTTTGACTTTGTCTCTGGCGCTGTCCCTGCCCCGCCTGCTGATGCTGACTCTGCTGCTCGCTCCAAGTGGGCGACCCGCGATGCTGCTGCACGTCTTGCTGTGCGTCGCCACCTCCCTTCCTCTGAGCGTGCCCACTTTAGTCAGTGCAAGACCGCTCAGGCCTTGTACGACGCTGTAGTTGCACGCTACTCCTCCCCTTCCTCCGCTACCCTTAGCCGCCTCATGCTACCGTTTCTCTTCCCTGACCTCGCTTCCTTTCCCACTGTTGCTGACCTCGTTACCCACCTCCGCGCTAGTGACACCCGCTACCGCGCTGCCCTTCCTGCTGAGTTCCGCGCTGCCAACCCTCCTCCCATGTACATCACTCTCTACTTTCTCGTCACCCGTCTCCCTGAGTCCCTTCGTGTCGTTAGGGACCAGTTTCTCTCTGTCTGTCCCACCACTCTCACTGTCGACCTCCTTGAGGAGTCCCTGCTAGCGGCTGAGAAGAGTATTGTCGCTGTAGGGGCCTCTCGGGGTGACCCTCGCACCCCCATCTTTGAGGGGTGTGGTCCTTCCCCCCTGCTGCCCTCTGTAGCCTCTGCCGCTGCGGCCGACCTCGCTGGTTTTGAGTCGGTCGGCGCGGCGTCTGCCCCCAGCGGCAGACGCCGCTCTGGCAAGGGCAAGGGGGGCAAGGGAGCGGGTGGAGCTAGAGGGGGCGGTGGAGGAGGCGGTGGGGGTGGAGGGGGGAGTGGGGGTGGCGGTGGGGGTGGTGGCGGGAGTGGAGGTACTGGTGGCGGCGGTGGAGGCGGAGGTGGCGGTGGAGGTGGTAGCGGAGGAGGCGGTGGGAGCGGTGGGAGCGACGGTCCTGGTGGGGGAGGTGGCGGTGGAGACGGGGGTGGCGGTGGAGGCGGGGGTGGCGGTGGAGGCGGGGGTCGGAGTGGCTCGTCCCAGCGGAGCAGCTCTGGGGGTGGTCAGCGCCAGCAGCAGCAGCAGCAGCAGCAGCAGCACCAGCAGCCGCAGCAGCAGCAGCGCTCTCGCACCGTCCCCGGCCCTCAGCAGCTCCGTGAGTGGTACTTGCAGCGTCAGCGCGGTGGTGCGCTTGGTCCCTGCCCCTACGTTCTTCGCACCGGTGACCGTGCAGGGGAGAGGTGTGGAGGCGCCCACACAGCCCGTCGCTGCTTTGGCCGCCTGACCGACGCCTGGCGTCAGCAGTTTCCGGAGGCCGCTGAGATCCCCCGCTGGGGAGAGCTGTCTAGGGCTGGTGTAGCTATTTATGATCTTGACTTTGATGCTATTCTCTCTGCTATGTATGCTGTGACTGGTAGTGATGAGGATGACTGTTACCGGTGTTTCCCGCCCGACCCGGGCATTGGTACTGCCGCGTCAGGTACTAGTGAGGCTGCTGCTCTAGGTGCCAGTACGTCTGTGCTCTCAGGTGCTGGTGAGTCCGCCCTCTCAGGTACTGTGTCGGCTTCGGCCTCTCACACCTTCACCCTTGACTCTGGAGCGTCTCGCTCCTTCTTTAGGGACCGCACCACTCTCACGCCGCAGAGTCGACCGGTTGCGGTGTCCCTGGCTGACCCCTCTGGGGGACCTGTCCTGTCTCGCTTCTCCACTGTCCTCCCGTGTCCGGCGGCCCCCTCTAGCACCCTGACTGGTCTCTACCTCCCCTCGTTCTCGACGAACTTGGTGAGTGGTGCTGACCTCCAGGATGCAGGTGTCCACCAGTTCACCCCTGCTCGTCAGCGGGTGACCCACTGTACGGAGGCGGATACAGGTCGTCACCTGGCTACGTTTACACGTCGGCCAGGGTCGAGCCTGTACACACTGACCACTGCTTCTCCTCCAGGTACTGCGTCTGGTAGGGTCCCCTCGTCTGGTCAGGTGTTTGCTGCAGCGTCCAGGTCTGGTCCTGAGTCTGCCCCCTGTTCGTGTCGTCGTCTGTCTCACGAGACCCTCCTCTGGCACCACCGCCTTGGCCACCCCTCTCTGCTCCGGCTCAGAGGCATGGCCTCGCGGGTACTTGTGTCTGGTCTTCCCCAGTCCCTCCCTCCCTTTCCTCCGGGCCCTGGCCCTGCCTGTGTCCCCTGTGTCGAGGGGCGCCAGCGTGCTGCCCCTCACTCCTCCCAGTTTCCTCCGACAGAGGCCCCGTTGCAGACGCTTCACATGGACGTGTGGGGCCCAGCCCGCGTCCGTGGACAGGGTCAGGAGCGCTACTTCCTGCTGGTAGTTGACGACTACTCGCGTTACACCACAGTCTTCCCTTTGCGCAGCAAGGGTGAGGTCACTGCGGTGTTGATCGACTGGATCCGCGCAGCTCGTCTCCAGCTTCGGAGGAGCTTTGGCTCTGACTTCCCTGTTTTGCGTCTGCACTCGGACAGAGGCGGAGAGTTCTCCTCTGGCCTCCTGAGTGCCTACTGTCGTGCGCGAGGCATCCGTCAGACCTTCACGCTTCCGGACTCACCACAGCAGAATGGGATTGCTGAGCGCCGCATTGGCATGGTCATGGACGTCGCTCGTACGTCCATGATGCATGCGGCTGCTCCCCATTTTCTGTGGCCGTTTGCGGTCAGGTACGCTGCGCACCAGATCAACCTCCACCCCAGGGTCTCTCGACCGGAGACCTCCCCAGCCCTGCTGTGGACGGGGAAGGTTGGCGATGCGTCGGCGTTCCGGGTCTGGGGATCTCGGGCGTTTGTTCGCGACCTGACTGCGGACAAGCTGTCCCCTCGTGCTTCTCCCTGCGTCTTCCTGGGGTTCCCTCCCGACGCCCCTGGGTGGCAGTTTTACCACCCCACCTCTCGACGTGTTCTGTCCTCCCAAGACGTCACGTTCGACGAGTCGGTACCCTACTACCGCCTCTTCCCCTACCGCACTCCGTCCCTCCCCCCTCCCCCGCTCTTCTTGGTACCAGGTCCCCCCCCGGTAGTCCCCCTCCCCCCTCAGGGTCCTGCCCCTTCAGGTGTGTCCCAGGTAGACGCGGTCGAGCCTGTCGAGGTCACTGGTGACTCTGGTGCTGCTGCGGGAGCTGAGCCTGGAGGTGCAGAGTCTGGGGGTGCTGAGCCTGGGGGTGCTGTGCCTGGGGGTGCTGAGTCTGGGGGTGCTGAGCCTGGGGGTGCTGTGCCTGGGGGTGCTGAGCCTGGGGGTGCTGAGCCTGGGGGTGCTGAGCCTAGGGGTGCTGAGCCTGGGGGTGCTGAGCCTGGGGGTGCTGAGCCTGGGGGTGCTGAGCCTGGGGGTACTGTGCCTGGGGGTGCTTCGTCTCGCCGGGAGCCACTCTCCCCACAGGAGCTGCGTGAGTGGTTTACCAGGCGCTGGAGGCGTGCTGCTGGTGCTGGTGGTTCTTCGCCTGCAGTAGGTACTGCTGCCGCGCGTCCCGACGGTGCTCGTACTGTGGGTGCTGGAGCTGCTCGGTCTGAGGGTTCTCCTGGAGCTGGTGCTGCTGAGGGTGTTGGCGCTGAGCCTGTCGCTGGTGGTCCGACTGACAGTGCTCCTGGTGCTGCTACTGGGGGTTCTGGAGCTTCTGGAGGTGCTGCTGGAGGTGCTGCTGGCGTGGGTGCTCCTGACCGGGGGGCTGGTGCTGTTCCTGCTGTTTCTGGTGTCGCCGTGCGGCCCTGACCGTACTTCGTTCCGCTCCTGCAGCAGGTTCTTAGTCTTGCACCTCCTCCTGCTCCC